TTATATATCATCAAATACTTAAACACAAAAAAATTGTCCAAAAGTTAAAAAAAATAACTTTTTGTTGTTCTTCTTGTTGATGGTTTTGAAGATGCTCCAACTTCTACATTTTTTTTCTTTTTTTCTTTTTGATTTCAGTAACAAAATCAAAATCGGAATCAGAAAGGGTTTCAACAATTTTCCCCTTCATCTTCTTCCCCTTTTGATTTGCAGTGGTGATCTTTTTTTTTCTTCATTTTTTCTCTCTTTGTCGCTCCTTCAACTTAGATGAACCATCCGTCGCCGGATTTTGAATATTCGTCGGATTTTTCAACAATTTTAGGGGGGGAGGGGGGGGGGGGTTTGAGTTACTATATTAAAATTTGAAACATGAACATCATCATTAGATGTTCCTTCACCCAATCTGGGACTCTTTTGAGGCGTTTCAATGGGTTTCTTAGACATAATTTTGTTGGGAAAAAAATTGGACGAAAGATTGAATGTTGGTGTAGTTGGCTGGTGAGAAAAATGGGAGAGAAGAAGGTGAAAGTGGGGTGATAGCGTGTATAGTTGGATAGGTGTGGGGGAAGAGTGGTGGGATTGACTAATGGGAGGTTATGATTATAATATTAAATAAGAAAGTGTAATCAATGTAAAATCCCTATAATTGTGTAAGAGATAATTATGGGGTATTCTTTATTTAAATAATTTAATAATAATATAAAATTATAAAAAAATTACTTATTTAATAAAGTAAAATTTAATTAATTAGTGATATGTTATAACCCGTAATTAAACTGTTATAAGCAAGAATTTTTTAAAAGTAAATTTAAAACCTGTAATATTGACTCTTAAATGTGTATATGGGGTAATTTTTCCAAAATGTAATCCCAAAAAGTGCTTTCAAAATTTATGACCAAACAAATATTAAATTAATGATACCGAAGATTATATGTGTGTTTGGCAATTTATATATAGAGTCAAAGTTTAGAATTAGAAAAACTTTGATGATTCAAGTATTTGAAATAAGGTTGAATGGGTTTCCCTTTTCTTTTCTTTTTTTAATCCGAAAAATAAATGTTGAATTTGGAAGTATGATCAATGATATAATCACGTTTTTTTTTCAATCTAAGTGCGATATATTTAACTAAATAACCAATATTAGTTAAACAATTCAAATGAAATACTAATACTTTTGAGACATAAGCATCAAAAACACAACTAAACTATTTTTTTTAGTTTCATATTTAAACTATGAAGAGTGTAGGTTTCATACCTAAACTATTATTTATTAGTTTGAGAAACACACCTCAGTGGTGTGTGTTATCTTTTATTTGAAAAAATCTTGCCACATGGATAAAATTAACAAAAATTAAATAATAAATTATTAGTATTAATTAAAGATTAAAGTATTGTTATCCCTAAAAAAATATAATCTAACCCACTCTACCCCCCTCCCCCCACCCCGCGACAATCTCTAGTCCTTTTTTTTCAAAATTTCTTTCATAAAATATTTTTAAAAAATTCATACTTCACAGTTCAACCCCCCCCCCCACCCCCCAAAACCACCCACTCATTCCATAAAAAATGATAATATTTTATTTTAAAAAATAAAATAAAATTCTACCCCACCCTATCTAAACCATCCACTCTAAATTTATTTATTTGTATTTTTTCATTTTGTTTTAGATATGTACATATATTTTAGAAAAATATTTTTTTTAAAATCTTGCGGCAAGTAAAAAATATTTTCCTAAAAATATATGCATATATCTAACATAAAACGAGAAAAAAAAATTAGAAGCAGAGAGTTAGGTGGGGTGGGATTATTTTTTCAAAAAAATATGATAATATTTAAATAAATTAAGGTTGAGAGAGTATTATTTAATCAAGAGTTTAGATAGATTGATAGGTGATTGGGGGCTAATTAATTTCCGTAGCTTAGGGACCCTAGTAATTCAGAAAGTCTAATTTCGGGTCCAAATCCCTTTTTTTTTCTAAAGAAATGAAATTAGAAATTTCTTATTTTGGTGAAAAAATAGCTAAAATTTAAATACATAAAACGCTAACTACCCATTTATGCATAGATAATTTTTCAGATATTTCAAATATTTGAAGAATATTTCAATTACTTTTTTGTTTATGAAAATCGAAAATTTGGTTTTATGAGTTTTTAAAATTTTGATTCACAAAATTCAATTGTATTCTCGTATCCAAACATAATATCAATTTCGAAATACTTTTTTCTTACTTAACTTCAAATATTATTATTTTTAATAGAAATTAATTTATATCACGACGATGCCGCGTACATACCTAGCTTGGTCTCTCCTATATAAGTATGTGCCTACTGTTTGCATTTATACTCGATTTCTCCCACTAATTGTCATACTTTAGCGTTGTTTTATTTTCCTTATTATCTCCCTTTTCTTTTAGAAATTTAGTCAAAGTATTTTACAGTCAATATTTAACTTTAATCTTAATTTAGTGAATAATTTTATTAAAAGAATTATGCTCATAAGTGACAATTGAGTGTACGTGATGTGACTATGTATTATAAGCAGAAGTTTTTGTATAGGCGCATCAAATACAAGAAGGAATAAAAATATATAAATAAATAAATAATCGAATTGTACATATGTTGCTTGAGGACCATAACCATTAGCCAAAATTATAAATTTTCATAATTTTAGCAGCTTCAAAACTAACTTTAGATTCACGAGTGTTAAATTGACATATCCATAACATGATTGATAACACCCCAATTACTATGTGCAAGCCCAGTCTATCAAGATTGTGACCATACGGTTGAACATCTGGCCCAAGTCCAAAAACTTTTCTTTTCTTTCAAAATATAGAGGTTTATTGATAATTGACAAATGACAACTCGCCTATTTATAAGTTCAGCTCAATTCATTTCAATCTATTAAAATTAAGAAGATATGAACTCATACTAACTTGTGATAGGTCTTGTCAAAATATTTTCAAAATTATTTTTTATTTGATATATTATAGATAATTATATATATAAAAAAATTATTAAGTACTAAAAAAATGTAAAAAAACAAACAAAGAAACTAAAACTTAATAACAATTTGTTTGAGACATACCTAATTACCATTATTTTTGCTTATAAGGAGCAAATTATTTGTTTTAGCAATTTGTTTGAGTCACGTAACCATTGTTTCCTCCTCTTCCCATAATAGTTTCTATTCAATTCATGAATTCAATATAATAGGCAAAAACACCTTAGTGATCTATATATGCAAACATGTGATATGTCTAATGTCAAAACATGATATATAGTCTATGCCAGAAAGTATCTTTTTTCTATACATAATAAATAGTAGCCAACAGAAATTATGAGTACTACGTTTATAAGCAACCTAATTAATTATCTTAATACATATACAATTTGTAAAAAAATTTTAAAACAAGTGATTTAAGGTCGATTAAGCTCCTTTTCTTTTGTTTTGTCTAGATCAACAAATTAAGGATAGAGTACAAGAATGTAAAGTGATAAAAGAAAAAGGAAAATATAAGAGAGGAGAAGGTCGAAAGTCTTCTTTCATTAAATTCCTAAAAAAAAAAATTAGTACAGTAATATTTTCAAAGAGAGTTGCCGATGCATGCTCTTCTTCTAGCATGGGCTTGAGTCTGATCAATTGAGGGCTGGGCACACATTATAAGGCGATTTGTTTCTGGGGTGAGATCCTACAGGCTACTCGACCTTGTCTGCATCAAACTAACCCCTGGGATTTTTCTGTGCCGTAGTAAAAATGACCAACGCTTCTTTGGTTTAGTTTCAACTGCGTATCATAATTTGATTCGTCCGTTCGTTTTATAGGAACCAAATTAACTAGATGCAAGTGGCTATACTAATATACTGTAAATTTGAAAAATGACTACTACGAAATTATGAATGATAGGCCATAACCTCAACCCAAAAAGTTAGTTCATAAAATAACTCTATTTAACGTGTGTTAACCAGTAACTTAAGACTAAATGATAATTACTAACATATAATAGGTTAAATTACTTGCAAAATCATTTTAATTTACACTATCTGTATATATAATTTAAATCCCTGATAAATTAAATTTTTGAAAGTGGATTTGATCATGCATGCTTTCAAATCATTTCTAGTTTGACGTTTAACTATAAATAATGATCTGGACCTAACAAATTACATCGACGCATGAACCTAAGAGTAAATAATTATCTAGGCAAATGGCAATTAGTGGATGCTGCGTCGACTTGGTGTTAGTTGATTCCAATTAAATATGGTTTAATTTCTCGGAAAAGAATAATCAAATATAACTTCAAATTACATACTTAATTCCAAATTTATTTATTTAACTACTGATACTAAACGACCTCGTGGGATCCGGTGCAAATCTAGCATGTAACATATGAGTTCATGTAGATTCATCAAATTTTACCCAGAAAAAGTCTGAATTCATACTTATAATAATTTTTTTATTTTTTATTATTAATACTCTTTTCCTTTCTTGGATCTTAGACCATTTGATTTTATTTTTTCTCTTTTATGGAAGAGGGAGAAAAGAGAACGAGAACTTTTTCACAATTTTTGCCTCAATAATAAAACCCAATTTTTTTTAAAAAAACCATTGAAATCATCCAAAATTGGTAATTAAAAGAAATGGAACTGGTAATTTAGCAATTAGTAAAGTCAGTGAAAATCATGTGATACCTTCGAATTTTAATATTGACAAAAATAATTCGAAATATGCTTAAATTGGCCCAATCGAGTATCTGCTACCACCACCTTTATAATAAACAACATAAAAGTAATAAAAGGAATGATTTGGCATAATTTTTTTTAAAAAGCACAACAAACGGATTCTTTCATTACATTATCAAATTGACTAAAAATCCTCACTCAACATACATGTAATTATTACAAGGGGAAATAAAAAGAACAAATCTAGGTATACTGGGACATGACCTTTAATTTATTTTAAGGTAAAAGTAAATTATATATAGTTTTAATTAATTAATTAACCATAAAGTCCAGTAACACCTACTAATTTAGTAAATCCAAAAGTGATTCCCATAGCCAACCATCCACCAATCAACACTCTTAATGAAGACTTAACGAATGGTGCTTTCCCTAAGTATGCACTTAACCCACCAAACCCTAAAAGTGCTAAGCTAACAACAGCAACCATAACTCCTAATCTCACATGATAATCCTTCACAAAAGCAGCACCTAATAAAGGTACAATTGCACCTATTGCAAATGCAAAAGCAGATGCACCTGCAGCTTGTAAAGGACTAGGCAACTTCTTCTTTTTTTCTTCAAATAATTCTGTCGCGTTTTCTCTTTTAAGTTGTGACATTTCTATGTCATACTGGGAATAAACGGACACAAATTCACCTATAGCCATGCTACATGCTCCTGCTACGAGCCCCGCGATACCGGTGAGGATCATGGACTTTGAATCTTGATGAATTGCTCCTATTCCCATCATTAAAGATGATGTTGAGAGTAATCCATCGTTTGCACCTAATACTGCTGCCCTAAGCCATTGTGCTCTTTTTGAGTAATCTACTATTAAAACCTCTAGGTTTTGTTCTACTTCCATATTGTTCGACTGTTTTTCTATATCATGATTTTTGGATAATTCTTGGATATTTGTTATGGATGCCATTGAAGAAAGTGGAAAATAAAAGTAGCAGAAATTATAAAATGTAAATAAAGATATGGACAAGTGTGGAGGGCACACGCCTATGTGGTGATATTTATAGCACAAAATAAAGTTGTGGAGACATGAAAAGAGGCTTTTACCGGTGGAGTGTTTATGTAATGAACGAATCTGATGCATTCACATTATAATTGAGTATAATTGTTACTCAAATACTCTCTCCGTTCCTTTTTAATTGTCATATTTTTAGATTGCACTTGCATTAAGAAATTATGTAAGTTACACTTCTACCTTTATTTAATGTTTTCTTAAGTCAACTTTTCAATAAATGATGAATATTACTCTATATGCTAGAGTCAACTTTTCACACTATAAGTGTTACTCAAATATTGATTACTCCTTTCGGCTTCTGTTACATTTTAGCTATCATGTTGTGTTTTTCTAGAGTCAATTTTGACTAATTTTTAAAGCTAAATTAAATTACATTCATTCGATATTTTAAAATAAAACTTTAGATATTAAAAAACTATATGGAAAGTATTATAAATTAATTTTTTTCATATCAATATGATGAAAAATACATCTTAATATGCTAAACATATTCATATCGTTTGACACTAAAAAAATATGACAACTAAAAAGGAACGGAGGGAGTATGTTTTTTTTAACTATTCTACCCTCCTTTATATCTTAAGATCGATATAGCATATTTCAAATAAATATTTACTCTATTGAAGTGTTTGTAGTCTTCAAAACCAATTAGGAAAATATGAGGAACTACTTTTGTCTTGGACTTTTAAGATAACAAATAATTTGAGACAGTTATTTTTAGAGGCAAAAGCCGCTAGTATTATAGTACTTTTTGTATAATTTGTGAATATCTAAATTATAATTTTAAAATATTGTGTTGGTATGTTTAACGCGCTAGTGTTGGATTGAAATTCGAATAAATCATATGGATTGTCGGTTGTCCATGAGTTGGATGTACAGATTATCAGAATATAAGTATAATGCTATACTAATGTATGCATGTGTAAGGAATGTAACTAAGGAACGTAGCAAAGTTTGATTACAGAATTCTTCTAAATGATCTTCTTACCATCTGTTTTGTACTTTTTTTCGGTGGAGTCACGAATTTGACGAAGAGGGAAAAAAAATGTTATTAGTAGATTTGAGCATGTGTGTACTGGTTCATTCAGAGTGTTTGAAACTCATTCATGACATCTAAAATCATTGGGCTACAACATATTATGTCAAGAATGTCCAAAATATGTTATTTAATTATTTCGTGAATTATTTTACTTGTGTATACAATATTTTTTTTCGACGAAAGGTCTCCAATTGGACACCCTGACATGCATATGCCTCCACCCCTGGCTACACCGAATAGTGTGGTATGATGGTTGAAATTTCTTTATTCTTATTTAATTTGATAAAAAGTATTTTAACCTTTGGTGGATCTAATCGAGTTAAATATATAAGAAAGCTTAAACGTATGAGAATTCTTCGTTTATGGTTTTGCGTTCCTTTTTCTATGCTGTACGTATTTTATTGTTTAATCACATGAAAATTTCCATTCTGAATGTACTTATCATATACTATGCCAAATGTTGTGAAAAGGGGTAAAACAATATTCTTTGTTTTTTTCTGGTGCTATGTGATCAGCAATAACTGAAAAAGAAATTCGAGATTCCTTACATTTTCCATTTCCAACAATTAATGGAGAGAAATTTAAGTGAAATAAATAAAGGAATAGAATGAGGGGTGATTAGTTACATTATCTTTTTAATTAATATTTTTTTACGAATATATAAAATATAAATATGACACGTAAAATGAATTGCAATAAGGGGGAGTTTAATTTTCAAAATGCTATTGTCATCTTATATTGACTTGCGTATGATTATTGATTGGGTAAGTAATTTATAAACATTTTCATTGTAGGTAGACGCAAGTGTTATTCGAAATCAAATCATTATTAACACTTGGTAGTTAGCTAATAAGCCATACATAATTTCTATAATATATATATATATATATATATATATATATGGCTCTGATACCATTAATTGCAGGTTGTTATAGACAGGGTATGCGGAAATAAAAAGCAAAGCAAAGATGTGCAGTGAAGTATGCTATGCTGTAAAAAGAACATGGTTCTCCAATATGCGTTTAGCAGTTTTATATTCAAAATATTTTTGTATTCTATGCATTTCATGTATTGTTACTATGAGCGTTGTTGATCTTAAGCTAGAATGCAAATATGCTTGTTTCATTTCTGGAATTGCTTTATCAAAATGATGTAATGCTATGCGATGTTTCCACGCTCTTCTTCTTACAAGATGTAAATGATATTAAATATCTTTTTAACATATTTATATTTTTATGCTACAACAAGCATGTATAGTAAACAGATATTGTTTAAACATGTTACTATTCAGATTTAATCAATATTTTTGATTTCCCTATAGGTACTAAGTATCCTTTCTATATCTAATTATATGATAAAATATGAATTCAAGTGTTCTGTTTTTATCATTAATTCTTTATAAATTAGGAAAGTATAGAATAATTATAAATTTATTTGATTTTGGGTTTGTCAAGTGATAAACAGCCACATGTGTTTAATTCTAGTTTTAGTTCACTTTTATTTATGAAAGTATTCTTCCGGCCAAAAACTAGAATCAAATCAAATAAAATCTAAGTCAATTTAGAACTAAATTTTAACCAAAGTTTCAAGAACATCACAAAAAATGAAGGCCCTTTCAGATATATAGTATTTTTTTTTTCAAAATGTAATGTTTTAAACATTAGTTGTTTGATAATAATTGGAGCGAATTTTTGTTAGTTTTTGAAAATGAAAATTTTCAAGTTTGTAAAATTGGTCAACTAAAAAAGAAAAAAATCATTTACAAAACTTCAAATTTGTTCCAACTCTTATTTTTTCTTTTTGTTTAAGAAAAATTCGCCAATAGCACCTATTGTGAAAGTGATCCAAAAGAAAGGTACTTTTGGAGAGGATTAGACATGTGATAGGAAAGCATTAACGAATTTGTGCTACACCAATCACCTGAAAACTTTGTGTCAAATTAATTAAATCATGTTGATTCTAACTATATGACTATATTAATATATTACTATTGAATCATCTAGTTAAAAAAAATTTCCCGGTTTCTCACCGGGAGTTTAAAGTCTGTATTAAAGTTTGATTAAATTCAGATCACGCACTTCAGAGTCCATTCTTATTAGTATATATTATTGAGAATACAATATGATAATGTTCCACTATCGATTATATATATATTCGTGCATCTAAAAGACTTCGTAGAGATTTTGATTTACTCCTCCATTATTTTCAGACTATTTCTTTAACACTCAAAATTTTGAAACAACTTGTGCTATTTTATATATATTGGACCAAATTACACTTGAATGTGGAGCTACATGATGACTAAACTATATTATGCTTTCCACTGATTATAATATACTGCTAAATAGTGCATCACTGAATATGAGAAAATCAACTCAATAATGTCTAATAAAGCTTTAGGGTGTGTTCGAAACGGAGGATTTTTTTTTTGAATTTATAATTTTTTTCATGTTTAATTGGTAAAATTTTTTGAAATTTTTTTTCTTCTAAAATATAAATTATTTAAAATGAAAAAGATGTCTTTCCTGGTGGAAATAGAGAAAACAGATTCAAAAAATAATATTATCCAACATTAATTGTATTCTTAGTGACCTTTAACCACCCCACCATACCCCCCACAGCCCATAACCACTAGTTCTTAATTCCACTTCTCATAATATTTTTATCTAAATTATATACAAATATTTTTAGAATAATATTTTTTCATTTTATGCTAAATAAATCATTTTCCCATGTATCGAACACACACCAAAAATGATTTTTAGTGGTAATTGATTAATGACAATAATTTAATTGTTTAGTACTATTTTTAAATGTTTCAAAAGCCTATAGTGATATTGAATCTAATGACATTTAACTAATGCCTATAAAGATTAAAATACTCATATATATTTATTACCGATAAAAGTTATTTTAGTGTTAATGTGGCAAGGAACACATGTTGGACACCGGACATAATTTTTATGCCATTCAACTTTTTATCAATTTATAGTATTCTTCTTTTATAGGCAAATATTTTCCTTCAACAAAAAGAAATGTACAATATAGTAGCACAATTCTGTTTTATTTTATGATATATATCTCTTATATTTTTTTATTTATTCTTTTTTTTCCTTTTATCCTATACACATATATGCTCTATCATCACCGACTCATCTTTTTCAGTGAGTTTTTTTTTGTTGTTAAAGTAATTCAAATTTTTTTTCAGTGATTTTTTTTTTGGTTGAAGTAATTCAATTTTTAAAAGGAAAAATTCTTTTGGCCAGAATTTGACCAGAATGATAAAATAAATATGTTATTTTATCTTTTTTGAATATTTTTATCCTTTTAACTTTAATATCTTTTAATTAAAAAATGAAAAAAAAGATCTATTTATTTTTAAATAAAAAGAATATTAAATTTTTGGCAAAAGTTTCTAGCCATTTAGCATTACCGTACCCTTTTTAAATGAGAACATATTTTTTTTCCTATTACACAAAAATATACGTTTGCTTTTGCTCAATTCATACATAATGATAGTCTTTGTCAATTAAAGTAAGAGTTGTTTTCGTGTGGATGCCACACTCCCCCTTTTAATTACTCAAATTAGTTGATGTCTTAATCAGCTTTAATATTGATACTATCTTTAAGCGCACTTAATGATAAATAATATTCTATTAATAGTATTAAATTAAATGGTAGAGTAACTAACATATATTTCCTCTGTCCAGTAATAATTATCCATTATACTATTTTAGGATGTCCAACAATACTAGTCCACTTTATGAAATCAATGAATAATTTTACACTTGGTTTCTTATTTACCATTATCATTAATTATAGAAATTTCACTATTAATTTTTCAAGACATTGTATTTA